ACTTTTGAGTGAAACCCAGAAAGACAAGGCTTTGCAACAGGTCTAGATTGCTGGGCAATCTGCTCTGCCACTTGGGCAGTATGATTCAGCAGATTCAATGGCAAATTCAAGGGTAGACTGGGATGCTGTTTGCGCCTTTGGCAGGAACCCATAGGTAAATCACAGCATAGACTCTTAAGGTTTTAGGGCAGAGCTTTGCAATCTTCTGCAGATAACTACTTTCCTTTTGAGAAACAGCTCTTGGCCTGATACTGGGCATTAGTAGTGACTAAACACATGACGATAGACCACCAAGTTACCATGCAACCTGAGCTGCCTGTTATGAACTGGGTGGGTATGTACAACAACTTCATCAGAAGTGCTATAGAAGTAATCGAGCCTGAGGCACAAATAAATTATGCAAAGAAAAAGCCGAATGACCATGGTTTCCACTGCTGCTACACTGCCTTCTCCCTCCCAGCTGCCTGCACCTATGTCTTACTGAAGAGTTTCTTAGTATCAGTGATGAGTCAAGAGAAAACTCTGGCCTGGTTTACAGATGGTTCTGTAAGATATGCTGACATCACCCGAAAGTAGACAGCTGCAGGATTACAACCTCTTTCTGGGACATCCCTGAAGAGCAGTGGTAAGGGAAATCTTCCCGGTGGACAGAACTTTGAGCAGTAAATCTGGTTGTTCTCCTTGCTTAGAAAGAGAAATGGCCAAATACGTGATTATAAACTTCACACATGGGCTGTGGGCAATGGTGTGGCTGGACAGTCAGAATTAGAAGAAACATGATTAGAAAGTTGGTGACAAGAAAACTAGGGGAAGCATATGTGGTTGGACTTTTCTGAATGAGCAAAAGAGGAAGATATATGTGTTGCATGTGAATGCTTACCAAAGGGTGACTTCAACTGAGGAAATTTTTCATAATGAAGTGGATAGGATGACCCATTTTGTCGCTACCAGTCAGTCTGTTTCCCCAGCCACTTCCTTTCATCACTCAATGGACTCATGCACAAAGTGGCTATGGTGGTGAGAATGTAGATCATATAGGGCTCGACAACACAGACTTCTAGTCACTAAGCTCAGCTTGGGTACAGCCATTGCTGGATGCCTAACTGGCCAGCAGCACACATCAACAGTGGTCTCCAATAAGGCAACATTCCCCACCATGATTAGCCCACTAACTGGTGGTAGGTTGATTATACTGGACTGCTTCCATCATGGGAGGGGCAGCATTTAGTTCTTACTGGAATACAGATTTACTCTGGATATGGATTTGCCTTTCTTGCACTCAATGCTTCTACCTAAACTACCATCCCTGGAGTTACAGAATGCCTTATCTACTATGTGTTTTCTACACAGCATTGCTTCTAATCAAGAAACTCACTTCACAACAAAAGAAGCAGGATAGTGGCCCATGCTAATTGAATTCACTAGTCTTACCATGTTCCCCGCCATCCTGAAGTGCTGGTTTCCGAGATAATGATGATTGGCCTTTGGATACTCAGTTCTAGCACTAGCTAGGTAGCAGTACCTTGCAAGGCTGGGATGAGGTTCTCCAGAAGGCAATGTATTTTCTGAATTACCATCCAATGTATGATGTTGTTTCTTCCACAGTCAAAATTCATAGGTATAGAAGTCAAGTGGTGGAAATGAGAGTGGCACCACTCACTCTTACTCCTAGTGACAACATTTTTGCTTCCTGTTTCCATGACCAAATGCCCTCTTGGCCTAGAAGTCCTACTTCTAAAGGGAGAAATGTTTTCTTCATAGGACAAAGCAGTGATTTCACTGACATGCATGTTACATGTAGTAACTCTCTTCTTTGCCTTTTGATTCATCATGCCTGTGAATCAAAAGGCAAAGAAGAGAGTTACTGTGCTGACTTGGCTACCAACACACAGTTGGACTACTATTCTGCAATGCAGGCAAGAAAGAATATGGCTGGAACACAGAAGACCTCTTATAGTGTCTTTTAATGTTGCCATATCCAGTGATTAAGGTCAGTGGAAAACTACAACAGCCCAGCCCGGAAAGTTTGGGTCACCCCACCAAATAAAGAACCACAACCAGCTGAGGTGCTTGCTGAAGGTAAAAGGAATACAGAATGGGTGGTGGAAGAAGGTAGTAATAAGTACCAGCTGTGACTATGTGGTCAATTACGGAAGTGTAATTTCCATGAGTATTTGCTCCTTATTTTGCTATGTGCATTGTATGTATGTATATGCAAATCTTTGTTTTCTTTTCTCTCATTTCTTTATCATGCAACATGATATGTTTTGACTTTATGTTGTAGTATTTAAGTATTATTTTATATAAGAATGTTTCAGTTACAGGATATTAAAGAAAGGAGTAATCATCACTCAAGGACTTTATCATCTCTTCTGGGAAAGGGTTTAGTACACTTTTGGGCAAAAACATGATAGTTGTATTATATTAGGCAGAATTATGGCCTCATTGTTGCCTTTATTTGGAGATTATGGTTTAAGGAGTTGTTTTGGGGTGACAAGTTGACAAGAAATGGACTTGTGATGGTGAATTTTATGCATCAAATTGAAAAGGACAGACATCTAGTTAAACATTATTTCTGGGTGTGTCTCTGAGAGTGTTTCTGGAAGAAATTAGAATTTGAATCAGTGGACTGAGTGAAGCAGATTGCCTTTCCCAATGTGGGTGGTCATGATCCAATCTGAGTTCCTGAATAGAACAAAAAAGTAAAGGAGGAAAGAATTCACTCTTTCTGTCTGGCTGTTTGACCTGGCAGGTCAGTCTTCTTCTGTCCTTGGACTGGTACTTACATAAGTACTACTGGTTCTCAGGCCTTTGGATTTGAATGGGAATTTACACCATCAGTCCTCCTGATTCTCAGGCCTTTAAAGTCAGACTGAAATATACCACTGGCTGTCCTGGGTCCGTAGCTTGTGGATAGCAAATTAAGAGTATAGTACTCCATAATCTCATGAGCAAACTTCTTATAATAACTCTCTTTATATAATTGTGTATGTGTGTGTCGGAGGGTGAGTGGGTGGATGGATGTGTGTATTTTCATCCTATGAGTTCTTTTTCACTGAAAAACCCTGTTGAATACAATGTCCAGTAGGTGAATGGATAAACTGTGGTACATCCACAGAATACAATATTATTCAGTGCTAAAAATAAATGAGCTATCAAGTCATGAATAGACATAGAAAAACCCTAAATGTATATTACTAAGTAAAATAAATCAATCTGAAAAAAACTACAAACCATATGATTCCAACTATATGACATTCTGGAAAAGGCAAAAGTATGGAGACAGAAAAAAGATGCCCCCCCCCCATCCCTAAAATTAAGGGGAAGAAGGGATCAATTGGATTAACACAGGATTTTTAGGGTAAACTATTCTATATGATACTACAATAATGGATACATGTCATTATACATTTCTCAATATCTATAGAATGTAGAGCACTTACAGTGAACTCTAACGTAAACAATGGACTTTGGGTAATAATGATGTGTCAGTGTAGTTCATAGGCTCTCTGATTGTAGCAGGTGCACCTCTGTAGTATCAGATGCCCACAGTGAGAGAAGTTGTACATTTATCGGGGCAGGGCTTCATGAAAATCTTCTATTCAATTTTTCTGTGTGGCTAAAATTTCTTTAAAAAATAAACAGTATTTAAACAGATGAATATTAGGTTATCTGGGATTCACAATGGAGGTGACCACATCCTTTGACCACCTTAGTATTCAAATTGCATATTCAGCCATTGGCCACTTTGACATGATTGTATGATAACAAAATCAATCTTGTCATATTAATTCTATCAAATTATTTAATTTTCAGGCAATAGTGAAAAATATATCATCTGAACAAAGTTAGTTTAGAGAAGAGCAAGGAATTACAACATTTAAAATCAATGTTAATGACACTGAACTCACATTACAGAACATTAGCGTATATCTATAGTTTAATAACATTTGGGCATTTAAACAATTAAATTATGGCAGTGGAAATTGGATGGAAGGAAGACAATTTTTTTGTAAGAAAAAATTTACATATTTTAATCATCTTAAATGTCTATGTATTTCAATAATTTAGTAGATTCATTTAGCTCTAAATGTCTTCAAGCATGTCATAAAGCTTCTGAAGTCTCTACTTCGTAATGTAGCCTGTTAATATTCATTATAGCCTGACAATATTCATTGTCTTTCTAAGACATTTTTGCTATTCTATTAGTCTGTCTTGTGATTTATTTCAAAGATAAAATGAATGTCTTAACTTTTCATTGATGAATTTTTAATCCTGATTTTCTAATCAAAATTTGATGGCAATTATTATCTATTACAATGTATTATTTCCCCTTCCTACCCATTTTTCGTTTTTACAGTAACTTCAACATCCTGACAACGTCATTAAAAATATTTTATCAGTAATTATATTTGGACAGATTCCCTTTTCTAAACTGTTTCTTTATAGTCTCTTAATAATTAACATGGATCATTTTTAGACACAGAAAAGATATAGAAAAGATTTTGCTTAGTCAAAAGTGTCAAAATCTCCAGTATTTTATTCTGCCTTTTATCTCACCCCTCTTCTAACCTTGGATGGTGACATAGAATTTTATAGGGTAAACTTACATGGTATTTCCACAATATAAATGGAGGGCCAACTATGTATGGTACACTTCTGAAAAAGAGGCCTGTTACCCAAAGGTAAGACAGAAGCCATCATTGATAGGGCATTTACGACTAGAGACCCAGTAAATATTAAATCCACAGAAAAGTATGACAGGGAACATTATCTATGGCAAAAATGTAAATGAACAGTTCTGCCTCTCTCATCCTTAACTTTTATCACCAACAAAATGAAAACAAAATTATCTGCCTCTAGAATTGCTGTGATGATTAACTTGGAAAATGTAAATAGAAATTTAGCACTTTGAGAGGCTGAACAAGATGATCACTTGAGGCCAGGAGTTCGAAACCAGCCTAGGCAACATAGCAAGATCCCTATCTCTATAGGAAAAAAGAAAATTTCAGCACTAATCTAAATGCTTTGTAAATGTCAGTTGCCATAATATTTAATACTTTTTAATTCTCAGAATTAGGAGAGTAATGTAGGCAGATGAAAGAAGAAGAAAACATTGGCTACATGCCTAAGACTTGAATATAGTTAGAACTGTGCATGTTGTTAAATCCTTTTATCCCAAATTCTTTGTTGCATACTAGGATCTGGAGTGATACCAGAAAACATAAAAGTAGTAAAGTCTGTTGAAAACTGCACCACAAAGAAAAGAGCCAAGAAGAGAATTTTGAGTAATTTAATCAATAAGATTCAAGTTTGTCCCCAGCTCATTTGCCTTTTATTCTTCATTTCAATTAGTTACATTTCCACTGGTTATTACCAAGGTTGTGCATGCGCCTTGAAATGTTCACAAAAGGTCCACGATACAGGGGTTTATAATAATATATGTTATATTCAGAATCCCAGGGGAACTAATAGACTCAGGAAGTATTGATTAAGCAAGATGAAAAAAACTTACACAGTTTTAACTACAACATTTTTAAAGACAAGTACAAGCTTCATTTGCCACAAAACTCACAAAAAATTAATTGATTGAAGAATATCTCTTTTATGCAAAATATACATTTTAGGATATAATTTAATTAATATTTTACTATATACTGACATTGATCCTTGATCATTGAATAAAAAAATACTCTCATTGCCAGAATTATATTTTTGTAATATTTATAATTGAGGTAATAATGATAAAAGACTTAAACTATGAATAATGTTGGTGAGTTTCATTTAAGCTATAACAGTTTCCCAGAACTAAACAAATGTGTGACTAAACGTAGGTCATTTTTGTGAAATGAATACTAACAATTTCACAACATAATTGACAATCTGATTACATAAGTGATTTATAAGAAAATGATATGATCAAGTTCATAGATTCAACCAACAAAGTAGAAATAAGAGAAGTTAAGACAGACCTATACTACATCAGTATCACTGCCTTAGGTAATTCACAGCACAACCTACTGTGGGCCCATGAAGAGTAATTCAAAGAAGTGTGGGCCTTACTTAGAACTTCAGAGATGTTGATCATGAATTGGCTTATTTTGATGAGAAATGGCCAAGACTGTTGACCCATGCACATGTGTTGGTATTTACAGTTGCTTCATGGACGCTGGCCAGTCTACAAGCAGAGCACTCGCATGGGGAGCACCAGGTGAGTTCCAGCCACAGTTCTTTTATAAGCTTTTAGTGCCTCATGAAGACGCGGGGATCTCTTCCAAGTGCAGCCTGGTCACATCAGGGCACATTCAGCAGCAGAAGTCTGTTTCCAGTATAGTCCTTTGTATGGCTAAATTCCACTATCCCTTTTTCAGCAGTCAAAAATCCATGACAAATTCTGTACAACACTGTAGTCAATAACAGCAGCACCAGACAGCATATTAATTCTTTTACCATAAATTTGTGTGTAATTATAATGTTCTATGTGTGGTGTTATCAAAAGAATCACTGTGTCTCTAAATATCACACATTTATGTCTGGATAAATACATTGCTGTACAAGATCTCCGACATGCAGGTCATGCTCTAGTACTTCAGGATATAGAGTAATACATGTTTCATGGCCAATAATAAAAGCGACAACTGTCTTCCTAACAAAAAGTAAACACGAGAAATAGGAATTAATCAGCAGTCTCAAGGATCCTATGCCTTAGTAATATTATTTATCCCTCTACTTATATTACGGCATTTTTCTTCCCTCACATGCTCAGTAGACCAGACACACTATTGCTGTTGAATTCATAGGAAAGCATAAATAGACTTTCTTCCACTCAGATTGAATATGACTCCCTAAGGATTTTGTTAGAGTGTAGTAATGAATGCTGGTCGCTAGGCAGTAGGAATTGACACTGCAGCAGGCAACCCAGTGCAATGGTGAAATTGCTGCTTAAACCCTGCTTATCAAAAAGATTTACAGTGCAGATTAACTTAGGTAGTCTACAGGGCATCATTAATTTGTATACAAAGTAGAGAGGCTGCTCCAAATAGCAAAAAAATAGGTATGGGGCAGGGATTGAAGGGACTCAATATTAAAATCATGAATATCTTACAGAGGCATTTCTGTGCTTCATGAAGACAGATGGCATATACAGTAAAGACAGGGAGCTAAGACAGACAGACAGGAACAACATACAGGACAAAGCACCTTATTAAGCACTGCCTGAAAATCTGGTTAATCTTTTGATTCAGAAATTTAAGGCTAGTCAAAAAAACCTTCTGTGAACACCAATGACTTTTGATGTTTGCACAAAATAATTAATAAAAATAAAAGGGTTTAAAAAAAAAAAGGACATGAGAGCTTTGCCACTCTGTCCCTGAAAATGATGATAAATCCTGGCGGGGGGGAGGGGGAAAGCAAGTCTAGTACCAAGCAGCAATTCCTGGCTAAACAATGCAAGCCTGGCTGGCAGTTACCTTTCTCTCATGTTTTGTGCCTTCCCCAAGTCATTAAGTAAGAGATCTGGCCTCGGCTTTCGTGTAACCAGTAATGACAACCTCTTTGCAGTTATCTGTGTGCAAATAACCAGAGACATTCAGAACTCCAATACAGCATTTTTGAAGAAAAGTAAATTAATCAAGAAATTAAACTATTTAAAACAAATAATTCTTTCAAATAAGAAAAAAAATGTCAAGGAGAAACTTGCCCTCCTTGCCCCACAATTCAACATGCAGAACAGTTGACCAATGCTTTTATATCAGCAGGATGGTTCAATGCAAGTACACATATCCTGAGCTATCCACAGTCCCCGAACTCTGCAACATTGCTTTCAGGTGATAGAGACAAGATGGTCCATGCAAATGAGCTGACCAAAATCATGTTGTGTGCAATCAAGATAGGATCCCATACATCTTCAGAATGGTTTACAGTCACAAGAAATAAAGTTCCAACGAAGTGGTTGGCATTTGGAAGCACACTGTTTTAAATATATCTCCCTGAAGATATGTTTATATATTAGTGTACTGGTCAATATCTGACACTATCTGTCATTTTATTGCAAAAGATCAGGGCAATTAATAGGAGAAGTCTTAGCACTACTTCAGACAATCTTTAAAGCCTGAATAAGATTCATTAGCTACCCAAGTGGCATTTCTGACTTCAAATTGTAGTATCATGCAAGATTTATACTGTATTAATGGAGCCTGGAGTAACTCTACATTTAATTATTTCCATTATGGGGTAAACAGTACTTGAATTAATACAATTTAGCCGACTGATGCAGTTTGGTTTACAAGATAGATGGGATGGGAGATCGAGAGCGCCTCAGAGGACAAGGAGAGTTGTAGGGTGATGTTACTGGAGAGAGCCTCAGAGCATTGCCTGCCAAGCCCGCTATGTTGTTTAAGCTTCGGGATTTTTCATATCCTTTTATGAAAAAATGCACAGACATCAGTTGAATTCAACCAGAATATAGACAGACAAATAATACCATGCAGGGTAATCAAAAGTGCTATTTCCAAGCTCAAAGAAGAATTTGTTTACAAAGAATTTAATATTGAGACAATTTATAGCTCTAAAAAAACAAAGCTCATTGTAGTTGCCATTTTGAAAAGATTAAACCAGCCATAATAAATTATGGTTACAATACTTCAAAATCTATTTTTTCCCAGATTATAGTTAGGTTTAATGTATTTTTGGCATATCGAATACTAGAACTCATTTAAGAGTTAGGCAAAGCAACTTAAGTAAGATATAAGCTTGACTAATATTTTTAAATTTCAGAATATGTTCTGGAAAAAAAGAGAAATAAGTAGGCTACTTTTTCTCTTTTCATTTTTTATTTCCTAAGCTAATAAAGCATGCTTAAGTTTAAATGGACAACTCTTTTTCCAGCATATTTAATCTTCCAGCTTTATAGGGTTAAAAGATGATTCTTAAATAATGGCATTTGGTGCCATTATCCAGGTGATGTAGGATGGAATGCCCATTTCTAATTCCTTGGGTAAGAAAAGTAAAGGAAAAAAAAAGAAAATGAATGAAATATAAATTGAGTCATAATTTCAGTGAAATAAGTCTGAATTTGATTACATGTTTTCAGCTGATTTCCACCCCCCCACCTTCCCACCCAGGAATTGAGAATAATTTGGTGTTAATTCATGTTTTCTTTCTTTTATATCACACCTTGATCTCTTGTTCATGATAGCCATGAACTTACAGAATTAAAAAATGCTCTCACAAACTTTAGCCTTATTCCTTAGCTACTTAAGCAACCCTGTCAGGGTCACCTTTGGAAACATTTGTATACTGTAGTATTTTTTATTACAAAAGACTAGTGACAGTTAAATGAGGTGAGAAGCACGTACTATAAATTTTGAAGTGAAATGTCTTAAAGCAGGGCAACTATTGACTTGAAAAGTAGTCATACTGTGAAGCCTTGGAAACGAATGTTCTGACAGCTTTCTTGAAAAACTGTTATAGAAAAGGAAAATGAAATTCTTTTTTGGTGACCAACATTGAGAAAGTAGATACAATTCTAGTGGACTACTTGTCTCCTTTACACTATATGACTTACTCTTTGGATTCTAATTAGAGCTCGATGTACTTGAGCGTGTGAGAAAAAAAAAATGGGTCCATTGTTTTTCCTTACGTTTCTTTTAGCTATTCATTTCTCTAATTCAGTCTTTTCATGGAACTTCCAGAGAAGAAGCCATGAATAGCTTTCCTCCTTTCACTGGAAGAGAAAAGTGATTTACCTGATTATTTTATGTATGAGAGGCCAAGACAGACATAGGTGTGGATCTCAATAATCGCTGTATTATGGGGTAAAGCTGTCTTATGGGGTGAAGCTGGACTGGATAAAAAGAAAAATGATCAACATTCCCCTCCTCTCGCCACCTGCACTGCACGCACATTAGCTTTCAGCAGACTAGTTGCTTTCTTTGAGATTTTGTAGAAAATTTTGCCATCCATTAACTATAATAAATATTCTCTAGTACATAGTCTCTGCTTATTAAATAATTATCTGCCAATGTTTTGTTAATACTCTGAGCTATGAAACATAGGAGGTGGTATATATTTCATTTTATGTTGGTGAATGATAGAATAGTTAGTGGGAGGATATCTTAAATAATATTTAAGAATTGCAAGTAATTTGTTCCTAAACAGAAATCTTTACATGCATTGAAGATTAGTTATTACTGCTCTTTTGTAAAGTGACTGAAAATGTAACTTTGGGAATTAGAGAAAAAAATTATCCTGTGCCATAGAAGTTGACTGTATAACCTACAAATGTAAACTAGATGATAAACATTGATTGGTTTTGATTAAAGGCAAAGTGGTGAATGTGCATGAACTAAATGGGCTGTTAATACTTACACATCATTATACAGATTTACAAGTCTGTTCTCTACCATCTCCTTGCTCCTACAGGACCCCCAGAAAGTTAAAATTCTATTTGGCAGTTTTATAATGTTCATGCCAGTAATATGTAAAACTTGGTTGCCATTCTAAATGTTATCTTTCTGAATTATAGATTTAATATAAATATTCTATTCCGTTTCTAGTTCCTATATTTTTAATGACTATAATTTCAGTGTCTATTTGAAAAGGCTTCCTTTGTAATTTATTAACAAGTATTTGTTAGTAAAATTGTATCTTACTCATATACATATTTTTCTTTATTCTACATGTTCATTTATGATTAGAAAATTTTGCTTAAGGTTTTACTGGAATGGCTGAAAATATAATTCATGAGAAAAAACACTGTTGAGCTTATTCTGAACTAACATCTAGATACAGAGTATTCTTTCAAATAATTCTTAAGAGCATGTGCTTATTTGTGGCAATACTAAAACTACCTACCCATGTGCTATTCATGAGTATAATTTATGTAATATGTTTTCCTAAAATAACAAACATTCATTCTAAGTATTGGGAGTTTACTCTTTTGGGAATCCTTAAAGTTTTCTTAATATATGTCCAATTATATTCTTATTTTTAGTTAGAAAAAGAATTCGGTGGAAATCCAGTAATTTATTTTCACTTATAGAGGGAAGATTTTTAAATATTAAAATCAAATCAGCAGAGAGACCAACTTGAGGGATAAATGAGAGGATTATACAGAAAATAAATGAATAGAAGTAACAGCAGTAATCTATAATGTACATAAAGGGAAACAGGAGAATAAATAAATTTGTGGTAGATATGACAAGATAACCCACTGAAAAGATTAAGTGAAATTAGCCAGAAATATTACCAGACTTAGTAGGAAAAAACATATAGCTATCAACTACTTAAACAAGAATGAAAAAGAGTTGATTATGATAAGAAATGACAAACAATAAAAAGCTAATGAATAAATTTTCAAAGATGTTCTCGCTAATAAAAAGAATTTGTATTTGTGAAATAAGACTGCATGTATAAATTATCCATGCAAACTAAATATCTTATTAATTGCTTTGCTTGTAAAACTTTGCAATTTTATAGTAAAACTTTGTATTTAGATAGTGCCTTATAATTTGCAAAGTCTTTTCTTATTTGTGATTTTTTCTTTGACAGTTTAAAATTTAAAATATTATCTAACATAGAAGAAAACTATTCTAGAGTTCTTTAAACACATAATCTTATTGAATGCTGATCAAAAATGTAAATTTAACATGTATATACATTGCATATAATGATTTAAGATACTCAATGCAATTACAACATGTTCTACATAAGATATTAGTTTGATATGATGACTATTATTTAACGTATGTACATATATTTTGCTCAAATACTATGTTTGATAGTGTATTCACTCTTCAAAATATATTTAAAGAATATTTCTAGCACATATCTAACGTAAAACAGTAAACAACCAAATAAATCTATTGAAAGGATTGAAATACGTTTTGGTGCAAGAAATAGATGCAAACAATGGGAGTAATTGGAATGGAAAAGTATTTAAAATATTATTCCCAGAAGGAACAAGAGTCCTTTGTCTCCTCTTTTAAGTCTCAAAGGCACAGAAGCAGAGAAGAGAAATCTAAAGTGATCAAAAGAAATGAAGAGAAGTACAACATAGGCAATAAAATATTTCAAAGAAAAAGGGAATCACAAAATAAATATTTGAAACTTAAAATGGTAAAGAATTCAATAGGGAGAAACGCCAATGCATAACAACTAAGCACAGTATTATTTAAATGCAGTTGTGCTACTATGAAACTTTTATAGTGGATTTTTATTCAAATTCAGTCAATTACCATAATAAATCATTATAGTTATTTCCCTATTCTGTCAACAAACAGGAAAAATGACTGTGGCAGTAAAGCAACTGGAATTGTCAAAGTGGAAGCTAATAATAAAGCATACCACTTTTGAGAAAAGTGGGTTATAATTGTCACAAGATTATTCTTAAAGTTGAGGAAAATATCCCAATTGTCCTAAGGTTGTAAAGTTTCTCAAAAGGGAATAAAAAACCTTTTAGAGAATAGTTTAGGCAGTGATACAATCAAGGACAAAGGACCCCCATGATCAGTGGGGCTTCAATATTCTAATATACTCCTTAACAAAGATGCTTGCCCCACAATTTTTATTCATTATTCAATACTTATTATTTTCTAGGTGTCAGACACAGTGCATGTCTGTTCAAAAACAGTAATAAATGGAATTTTTTATTACTGGTCCTGAAGAAAAATTCTGTAAGTGCATTTTGTGAGTAGACTCTCAAGTGATTAGATGTACCATTCCATATGACTGAAGATCATGGACCTTTGCAAACTTGAGATCCTCAGATAAACCACTGCCAAAAACTACCCATGTACTGGGTAAGAGACATTAGAGAATGTTTAATGCTTTACTTTGAGAAAAAAAAAACCTTATAATTGTTTTAAAGTCATGAATTACTCATCAAATATGTGCGCAGAGCCAATTAGTGAGTTTTATTTGTTGTAATGAAAAAGATAACTTTTAATGACTGCTGAGTACATTATATTAAGTAATTGGAAAAGCGATCTAATATTTACACATTCCATTCCAATTCTGCCCATAGACAAATGGCAAACCAAAGAAGAGAGAAAAAAGGACAAGATGCCTTTCAGATATGACAATCATGTAGGTTACTATGTATTTTAACATGTTTCTAAAGAGAGATGTAATAGAGAGAGGAAAAGAGCACTGTGCAAGTCTCTCCTAGAAAATGATGAATGAGCATTTTACATTACTCCATTTATTTCCAACAGTTTATTGCTAAGTCACCTGTTATGATCTGATTAAATGCATGCCTACCTTTCCTGATCCCTCCATCAGAAGCACACGTGTAATCACCTGTTGTCAGTAGGAAACATGTTTCCCCTCTTCTGTTTTTGTCTCTGGTACTAGAGCGTCTGATGGGGAGCCTTTCTGGGGGTGATAGTGGCGGCTCACTTCCTGTACTGTCGTCACCTGATAACACTGGTCACAGCACCATGCCCATTGACAGACAGTGATGAATGAGGAAATGAGACAGTACAGAGAGTTTACACAGAATGCTGGTAGTCCAGTCACTCAATATACAAAACACAAGAATCACATCACAATAAGAAAAAGAATTTTTATCACTCTTCATGAAAAATTACATGGAGCAAAATGGAAATGTATTGAAAAGATTAGAACTGTTCTTTGGGAGATTTTAATTCCATTTTGGATTTTATCTAATAGGAAATTGCCTTTCACACAACTAATACAAACTCAAAATAACTGTGATAATGAAATAGCACACAGATTATTGTCTTATAATTTTTGAAATGTTATCTATTTACTCTGAAAAGAGTATTTAAAAATGGAACCTATTTAAGAAAATTTCTTAAGTAAATTTGTCTGTGTAGTTCTTTAAGAGACATGCTTTTATTAATTTCTAAAAGCATCGTCCCCAAAATTCTTAATAAAAATTATTCCAAAGCACACAAACTCCGTCCAGGTACTCAATTTTGAAGCGGCAAAATATTTTTGAGCATGCAGTGGAACAAGGCCAGATTCTCCAAATGTCCTTGAAATAAGTATCTGTTTACTTCTGTATCCTTGCCAAAGACTTCCACATCCTATTGGCCTACATACTAGCTTGTTATTTCATTGTTTACCTGGGATGATAGTGTGTCCTCTTTTCCAATGCCCTTCTTAAGGGCTCTGTATAGATACTTGAGAACGGTTTGATGAGAGCAGCAACACCAACTAAACTCTACCTTTCATAAATACATTCTTAACAGTTTTTAGATATATATTAGCAGAATTTGCATAGCAGTCTACTAAATGAGCATAAGGACTCTGAATGAAACTTATGAACACTGATAAACTTCAGCTCCAGCCACATTGTTTTTTCCCTTTAACTCATTTAAATTTCTAGAAGCTAAGGAGGGACCTATGAAAACGATGCCTCCTTTTTTGTTAGTTTGCTTTGTTCATTGATCTTACTTCTAAATTATGCAAAATTATTCACATAAAATCACCATAAGTTATTTTTATATAAGAAAAAATGAAATATATTGAGGTTATGGGGAATCAATAAACCTTAAGTTTTCATAGTAGGGTAAAAGCTAATTAAATTGTTTAATCTGCAAAATAATTTATCTTTACCAGACGGTAGACAAGAGGAGACACTACTATCACTTTGGCAGCTGAATGTCAATTTCTAGTCAATCAACTCTACATTGTCTATAACAATGGTGAGAATCAGAGATTCAGCTAATCTCAAGCATTAATCATTCAAAATTCAGTTCTGGGAGAGAGCAGAGCCCAATACATAATGCCTAAAAAGGAATTCCACAGAGAAATTCAGCTTGCCAATGAGTGGCCAAAGCAGATCACCTATCCCCTGAAAAATGGTGAGTTAATTATATTACATGGCATCGAGCTTCATCAAAGTTATAATGAGATAACCTACTCAATTTAAGAACAATGAAAATTTAACCCATCTTCCAGGATATTACTAAGTCAGAGCTTTGTTATCAAAAAGATTATCTTCCATATCACCTGTTTGGAATTTAGGCCTTTGAAATGTAAGCATCCATTCTTCTTAAATAACTGCTTCTTGTGAATTAGGTTGAGATGCATGGCACCATGTGGCAGAGGTAAAACTGAGACAAACACACCAAGCCAAACGATATGGAGATCAACATTTTGAGGATGAAAGATGGAAAATGGCCAATATCATACCATCACATCGTGCAGGGGAACAAAGAAACATTGGCACAAAAGCAACAAACAGGCAAAAGAAAATATTGGCACCATCAGCAAAAGGCATTCCCACTAAAGCAGGAAAACTCTATAGACCAGCTATGCAGTCTTCTACTTGGGGTTCATTTAGAACTGCTACAGTCTAGCTATCTATAAGCCTGACACAAACACGCATTTTGTGAAGGGGTTAGGACTGAAAACTCATGAGCGTTTGCAGAAAATGAGAATGACTGCCTTCTGCCTAAGAAACATACTGGTCTATAAAGCATTTAATAACATGCATTTGAAGTCGTGCCTTACCTGATCTGTTATGTTCCAGAAGTCGGTTGTCTTTGCCCAGACACGTGTCACTCTGTGTACTATTGCAGGCCATATTTAATTCTGTCTTGCAAAAAGTAGGTGAGCTTGCCTGAGGAGCAGGAGGGATGTGCTTCTTTCTTTTCCTTGGAAGTTTCTGCTTTGCCATTGCCAAGGAGTAGTACATTCCAAAATTGTTCACAATGACAGGCACTGGCATGGCTATTGTCAGTACTCCAGCCAGAGCACACAGGGCTCCCACCAGCATGCCTGACCACGTTTGGGGGTACATATCCCCATAACCCAGGGTAGTCATGGTCACCACAGCCCACCAGAACCCAATGGGAATGTTTTTGAACTGCGTGTGCTCACTAGCTGAAGGGTCGTTAGGTTGAGCTCCCACTCTCTCGGCATAGTAGATCATGGTAGCAAATATCAAAACTCCTAGAGCCAGGAAGATTATCAGCAGCAAAAATTCATTAGTACTAGCTCGAAGAGTATGTCCAAGCACCCTCAGACCTACAAAATGGCGGGTGAGCTTGAAAATTCTCAGGATCCTCACAAACCTTACCACCCTGAGGAAGCCAAGTACATCTTTAGCAGCTTTGGATGACAGCCCACTGAGTCCCACCTCTAAGTAGAAAGGTAGGATGGCCACAAAGTCAATGATATTCAAGAGATTTTTGATGAATTCAAGTTTATTGGGTGAGAAAACAATACGGACTAAAAATTCAAAAGTAAACCACACCACACACACTCCTTCTACATACGTCAAGGCAGGATCCGTTTCAATTTCATACTGTAGAACAACACTTGTGCCATTGATGACTGGTTCTGTCTTGTTTTTAACAATATTGAAAGCTTCATGTGTTTCCAGGCAAAAAGTTGTAATTGAAACCAGGATGAAGAATAAAGAAGCAAAAGCAATAAACTGTAGAAGAAAAAGAAATAAAACCCACAGTGATCTGATAGATAGTATATGTTGATTCAAATCTAAAAGCAACAATCCCTGTAAATTAAAAATGAATAGCAGCATATTTAGAGGTTTCACTTGGGGTATGACCTAAGCAAAAGAAGATACATGTATGTAACATTAATTAGAGTATTTCAGGTTCTGTTTTCAGCTCATAGATACAAAGTTTTGCTTTATGTTGAAATATAATTTATTGAGTTTTTTGTGTAAGAAAATATAACTTGTAAAGAAAACATGAAAATCCCTGTAAAGGAATTGCAAATGAAAACATACCAAAACAAAAGAGATATTTAGACAACAGTTTATGATCCTAGAAATCTTTATGCATATGATCAAGTTTTAAACTTTTTAATATAAGGCGAATGAGACACTGATAGAAATTTGGAAGCTACCCAAATTGAACTATAGATTTCTATTTGTATAGAAAATATTCTGGATATCATAAGGTATCAGGATGAAAAAAAATCTTTGCAGTATATACTGCCATGTAAATTACATCAACTTCAGGTGGAGACTTGTCCAAAATTGCAAATCTAACGGGAAAGAAATAAGACTGAAAGGAGAGAAACCCAGTAAAGGAGCAAATTAAATGACAATGTATTCCTCTCTTGAAAATGGATCTCAAAGTGTTAGAGTAACATACTATAAAGTTGCAAAGGTTTTCTTAAATTCAATTCATTTCCAGCCAATAATACATGACGACACATACACCTACCAATACGGAATAATTTTAAAAGCACTCATATAGTTCTTACTAGTACCAGATGCTCACATCAATCCTCATAACAGCACTACTCCTCCTACTGCATTTTGCAGTTCAAGGATATCAGGACAGAAAGTTTAAGCTACTTTTCCATGGTCGTAAACTACAAAATGATAAGCCTGAGTCACTAACCTGAAAAGTTTAGCTCCAGATTCTGCTCTCTTACTTACTGAACATCTTAGGACTGTGGCTATCTGCCTTAAAGAACCACTCAAATTATGGAACTTCTACAGTGTGCCAGTTAACACATCAGCTGTATAGTATTCTAAGGCAGGTAATTTCCATAGCTTTAACTTGCTCTCTCATGCACATTTTCCAGCTGCTCTAAGTTTTGGTAATATAGTTTGACCATTCGCTTTCCCAGACGTTTTATAAGATAATAGCATTCTTTTGTCCTTCAGTTTTGACTTTGTACAAATAAATATACTATTCTTTTTTAATCAATCATTTGTTGTAACAGTATCATTAAGATCCTATGTATACATTAAAAGCTAACATCTTTCAGAGGAAGAATCAATTATCCTTGATTCATAAATTACTTCTTAATCTAATCCTGTTGATTTAGGAGTCACATTTATTTCTGATTCCACCTAAAGTCTTTTGTCATTAGAGTCCTGCCAGTATGTACCTACTGACTTCTACCCTCCAACTATACTCTTCACCATCCCTACATTAGACTAAAGTATTTCAGGCATTTATAGGCTCAAAAGAATCTTCCTAAAGCCTTCATAGCTCACTGCCTCCTTAGTAATGAGATGTTTGTGTGTGTGCATATTTGTGTGTATTTTGACAAAATTTTGGCTTCTATGCAAATACGTGTGCATAAATGAAACATGTGAACAGCGTATAAACAATTCTAAGACACAAAACTTTGAAAACCAATAGTTGTTTGCTTATGTAAGTCATTCTGTACTTGCAGTTACCAATATTTTTATTGGCAATATTTAAAGAATCACATCATAATTTTGCATTTGTATTATTCTACTTTGCTGTTTTTATAACTCTATGTATCTTTAGCTTTTAAGTACTTTGTAAATTTGCCAGATTAATACCAAAGTTGATTCCTTTTTCAAATATTCTTATTTTACAATTACAGTGATATTTTACTGTAATATTATATACTTTATGTAATTCTATCATATTTAAATATATATAGTAATATTTTTACTCTAAGAAGAAAATGAAAGAATATTTGAAAAAGAAAACAACTTTGCATTTTGAGAATAAAACAACATTCATCTCAGAAGTAGATGGTTATTTTGCTTTGAAAACAACCAGAGAGGCCAGTCGCAGTGGCTCTTGCCTGTAACTCTAGCACTTTGGGAGGCTGAGATGGATGGATCACTTGAGGTCAGGAGTTCAAGACCACCCTGGCCAATATGGTGAAACCTCATCTCTACTAAAAATACAAAAATTAGCTGGGCATGGTGGTACATGCCTGTAATCCCAGCTACTTGGAAGACTGAGGTAGGAGAATCCCTTGAACCTGGGAAGTAAAGGTTGCAGTGAGTTGATGGTGCTACTGTACTCCAGCCTGGGCAACAGAGAGAGGGTCTGTCAAAACAGCCAGAGAGGCAGTGTTTTTATTTATGAAAGCTAAAGACGCTAGTCATAATCTGGAATAGGAGGATTCTAAGAACAAAAGTATGCTTGAAAATAACATGATAGAAATTTCGAAGTTGAGGTTGAATTCTAAAGAGAGGAAAAAGGGAAAGGTCTCTAAGGAGAAGGAAGAAGAGCTGAAAATGTGAGTCCAGCAGATGAGAAATTCCTTCACAGGTCCAGTAGCAGAACTTGAGAATAGCAATTGAGAATATTAAATTTTGAGATGATGCTTCTTCTGTTTTGCCTTCAGCATAAGGCTATTTTATAAAAAGACCTTGCTGTTGATTCTGTTGTAAGGAATGAAGGTATTAGGCCAGCAGAGGACAAAAAGTGGGGAGAAGTCAACCATGGGAGGCAGGATATGTAGCAGGTATAAGAAATGTAGAGTAATAAATAAGAATGACAGGTAATAAGGGGAAATGTAGCTCCCATGAACATTCTTGGAGATACTGGGAAGCTACAGACTCCCAAAGAAGGAACAGGAACTGAATTTGTTAGCAATTTAGTTCAAGTATCAAATGAACGGGTGACCCAAGAGCTTTGCGGATTCGGAATTATCCAGTGGCAAACACTTGGGTTGCATTAGCAAAGGCTTGATGCACTTTATCTGAACTTAATTCTAAGCTCTTTGGATATAAAAGATGTTTTCTTTTCTTTCTGGCTCGGTGAGCAGAGCTTAAATGGATAAATATGAGGTCAGACTGAATAACATTCAGAAAAAGAAAGTAAAAAGGAAAGAAATGGAGGGGAAGAGATTATTTGTCTTTTTTTCTTCACTGAACTGAGAAATCTTTAAGGACTGGACTAATGTCATATTCATTTTTTGTATTTCTTGCTCCTTGTACTGTGGTTAGTACTGAATATGGCAGGATAGATAGATAAAAGGTTGGAAGAATTAATGAAAGAACAAATGAGAAAATGAGTAAGATAGACCACATTCCAGTGGAAAATGATATGAATAAAAGGTAAATAATTTAAATCAAACAATGAAAAATGAATATTGGAGCAAAAAAGCCAAACTTAAAAAGCAAATTGAACTGGCTTATTGGTCCAAATGTTGTCAATAACACCTTTTATTCATTCTCTTAATGGAGCTTGTGTGTTAGCAAGAAAATGGGGAAGAGAATCACACGGCCCTCTCTCTCTTTGTTTTCCCTGTGATAAGACCAAAATTCCCCCAGATCTTAATTAAAAATAAAATTAGGTATTTTAAATAATTAAAATGTTAGAAAGCTCTCCAGACAAGGTGTGTCATGTCAACTGAATGTACAGATCTGATGCATCATTCCAGGGAGTTTCAAAATAAAATACCCTGTTACAATATTGGCTTGTGAGGCTAATGAGTAGACACATTTTTCTCCATTAGTTGTGTGCATGTATTTCGTTGCAGAGAGTGCCCAGGACTCTTTTTTTTTTTTTTTTTTTTCTAATCCGCAACCATGGGGTGGAAGTCCTCATAGTCCAGGGTCTGAATGAAGGGCCTCATGTCAATCTACCTCAATGCAAATATTTAAGCAAATCTCTAGGTATGTATAATAGGCAAAGAGAAATGAAGAAAAGTGAGGTACATTTTTATTTTCCTCATTTTCTCTTTCTTGTTATTAAAATAAATGAAATTGAGCTCTATAGCATATTCATAAATGCTTATTCACTTTTTCAAAACTGTTGACTAGACTGTGTCCTTTCTCTGTGCAACTTTAGCCCAGGATTACTAATACTGCAGCAATTTCGCATACTTTTGTCAATAATTCCACATATCCACAAGTTGCTCAGAGAAACTTAAACATTATATCCCCAGGGCCTTGACTTAAAGCAAGAAGTAGGTCTTCAGTCTCTGTTGTGGAATTAGTAAAAGAATAAATTATAAAATTATGTTGATTTGGTAAGCAAAAATTCCATTGGAGCCAACACAGAATCTGTCTTTTAAAACTTGCTTTATCCTCCTATTACTTACAATAGAAAAAGCAGCCTATACTACAAACTATAAAGGATGAAAAAAAAAAAAAGCTCATCTCTATTTTGTAAGTGGAAGTCAGAGAGATAATTTAATATTTGAAAATTAACATCATGAGAAAATCAATAAAATAAGTTACCTAAAATATAGTACTAAGGAATATTCATTTTTATAATTTTACATAAGTTGCATTTTCCAAATGAGAATACTTCCTTCCTATTAGGCTCATGTTGCTTTTCTTCCTTAAATAATAAAATAGAGACTAAAGAATTACAAGAATTTTAAAGGTTCAAGTATTAGAAGTTCATGCAATATACCCTAAGCCAAAATTTCCACTTTTAGAAATTTACTGTAGAAAAATATTTATATAAAACTACAAGGATAAACACATAGAATTATATTCAATGAAGCATTATTTATAATTGAAAAATAAAAATATCTGTCTCTCAATTGATGGTATGTCTATAAGATAGCATTCCAAGGAATGAGGTACTACAACATGTACTTACATGGAATGCTCTCCAAGGAATCGTATTAAGTTTAAAACAAATGACTGCAGAACAACAATATGCAGAGTGTAATCCCATTCTTTCTCATTATTTACAACTAACGAATGAATAGGAACATTCTGTTTTT